CTGCACCGGGGCGGCGGCGGCGGCCGGAGCGGGGCCCTGAGGAACCGGAGCTCGGTGGGCGCTCGGACGCTCGGACACACGGACAGACGGAGGCTCGGACACACGGACAGATGGAGGCTCGGACAGACGGACAGATGGAGGCTCGGACACACGGACAGACGGAGGCTCGGACGCTCGGACCCCCCCGGGGGTCACCCCCGATCTCTGCGGGTGCGCCCGCGGCCCCCCCCCCAGCCCGGGGGGTCCCGGGGGGAGGGGCGGGGTGGGGGAGGGGCCGCGGTCGCGCTGTACGGAAAGAGCCGGAATAAACCGGGATGGACCGGGATGAACGGGAATGATCTGGGATGGACCGGGAATGATCTGGGATGGACCGGGATAAACCGGGAATGATCTGGGATGGACCGGGATGAACCGGGATGGACGGGAATGATCTGGAATGGACCGGGATGAACCGGGAATGATCTGGGATGGACCGGGATAAACCGGGATGAACGGGAATGATCTGGAATGGACCGGGATGAACCGGGAATGATCTGGGATGGACCGGGATAAACGGGAATGATCTGGGATGGACCGGGATAAGCCGGGATGGACCGGGATAAACCGGAACCGGCCGGGACGAACCGGGCTAAGCCGCAGCAGCCGCAGGCAGGGCTGTGGGGTCGGGTCAGGCTCAGTCCCCGCTCAGGGGGTGTTGGGGGTCATTGGGTCACTCCCAAGGGTCATTTTGGGGTCGCTCAGAGGTCTCTTGGCCCGGGTGGGGGTGGAGTCCCCTGTGGCCCCTCCCCCACCGCGGGACGCCACGAGAGAAACGGGAAAAAAAAACAAAACCCCGGATTTTTAATAATTAAAAAAAAATCAGCGCCGAGGCGAGACCGGGCCCCGGGACACGGCGAGGGTGGCACCGGCCCCGCGTGTCCCCAGCCCCGGGGCCACCGGCCCTCCTCACCCCGGCTGTCCCCGGCCTGGCCCGTGGTGTCCCCGGCCGGGGCTCAGGACACGTCCCCCGGTGCTGTTCCCGGGGCTCAGGACACGTTCCCGGTGCTGTCCCCGGGCTCAGGACACGTTCCCGGTGCTGTCCCGGGGCTCAGGACACGTCCCCCGGTGCTGTTCCCGGGGCTCAGGACACGTTCCCGGTGCTGTCCCCGTGCTCAGGACACGTTCCCGGTGCTGGCCCGGGGCTCAGGACACGTTCCCGGTGCTGTCCCGGGGCTCAGGACACGTTCCCGGTGCTGTCCCCGGGCTCAGGACACGTTCCCGGTGCTGTCCCGGGGCTCAGGACACGTTCCCGGTGTTGTCCCCGGGCTCAGGACACGTTCCCGGTGCTGTCCCCGTGCTCGGGCCGTGCCCCGCTCCCGCCCCCGCTCCCGCCCCCCGGTGCCGCCGCTCCCGGGGCACAGCCGGTGCACGGAGCGGTGCCGCTGGAGGTGCGGGGCTCCCGGTGCCGTCCCTCCCGGGCCGGTGCGTGGCCCGGTGGCGCTGCAGGTGCCGCTGGCGGTGCGGGGCTCCCGCGGCTCCCGGTCCGCAGCCGGTGGCGCTGCAGGTGCCGCTGCAGGTGCGAGGCTCTCTTGAAGGCGTTCCCGCAGCGCGGGCAGCGGTGCGGTTTGTGCGGGGAGTGCGCGATGCTGTGGCGCCGCAGGTACGACAGGTACGGGAAGCGCCGCCCGCACTCGGGGCACGCCAGGCGGGCCCGGGGGGGCTCCCCGGGGGTCCCGGCGCTGTCCCCGGGCAGCAGCACCGAGAACGGGCGGCCCTGGCTGTCGATCAG